TGGCCTCGCCTGGGAGACCCAGCGTCCCCACGCCGATCTGGGAAAGCGGGCACCTGGTTCCCACACGGCGTGGCCTTTGTCGCCCCGCAGGTCGTACCACCCGGCTGCACCCGCGCCCCCAGGCCCTCTGGAGGCGCCGCGCAGGTGCCAGCCCTGGCCTGAGGCTGGGGTGCCTTCCTCCCCTGGGTTCCTGTCCACCGCAGCTCCTCACTTTCGCCAGGCGCCTTCCCCGCGGTCCCTGTGTACCGCCGCGATGGCTCCTGATGCGGCTTGAGCTCGGTCGCTTCTCCCGGGGCTCCCACCCACCCTACTCCCGTGTGCTCGGGCTGCCGCCCCCTCCGGTCCCTGCTGTGCACTCCAGTGCTGATCTACTCGCCTCCGCCTCCAGCACCACCCGCAGCTCTGGGGCCCTCCCAGGAGCCGCTTTCGTGCATCCTCTCAGTTGTCTGTGGAGTGGAAGAGAAGGGGCCTCAGGAAACGTAAGCACTGACAGCCCTCGCTGCGCACCTTCCCTCCACTAGCGGCTCTCTTTGAGCATTGATTCATGGAGGAGGAAGTGGCACCCAGCCTGAGCTGGGAAGGCTCCATGAAATTGTCCTGGGTAAGCATTCAGTGGGAGCAGAGTGCTCCTGCAGAGGAAGTAGCTCGTGTCCAGGCTCCAAGACTCCAGGGAGCGTCGGAATGGCACTTGCCACGTGCCAGGTATATTCTGCAGGTCCTGTGTCTGTTCCTTAATGTTCGCATGTCGTTAGGGGCCTCTCTCAGGTTACACGTCATGTCAGTGGCGCTGGGCTGGAGCAGGTGGCACCTTCCAGATGATCAGCAGAGACTAGGGAGCTGGGACAAACAGGCTAGAAGGACCACCACAGAGGGGCTACCAGGGGTCTTGCAGGTGGTCACAAGGGACCCTGGACAATTGTGGTGTCTCCCTTGTGGATTTGAGATTAAACCTCTACATATTAGGGTGTGTTGCCCATCCCAAAATTGCATTTTAATGTAATCATTTCAAAGTTCTAAATGTCAACCAAAAAAATTTTTTTTTGTCCTGGGGATCAAACTCGGGTCCTTATGCTTGTGAGGCAGGTGGCGGCACCGCTGTGCTAAATCCCCAGCTCAACTAAATTCTTAATGTAACACTCTGCTGATGCTTATTTATTTATTTTTATTTTTTATTTTTGTACCGGGAATTGAGCTCTGGTCCTTGTGCTTGAGAGGCAGGTGGTGGAACCACTGAGCTAAATCCCCGGCCCATCCTGCTGATGCTTTAAACACATGCCTGGCTTGTCTTTTACCCATCAGATAAATTTCCATGTGGTTTGAAAGCCCCATAAGGACATAGGTTTTAACCTATCGGGGTGATGCACATTAGCCATGGAAAGTGACCAAGGCAAGGTGAGAGCCAGGATCCCGCGGGCAGTGTGGATGGGAGGGACAGAGACCAGAGTCTGGGTCTGGACTTGGCAGCAGGTACAGGAAGGAGGAAGGAGGGAGAGGCTGACAGCTTCTAGTTGGGAAGGGGCGGAGGGCAGAGGAGAACGCCGTTTAGGAGGCTGAATCTACAGGGTGTGGTGAGTGAGGCAGAGGGCAGAGTCCAGGGCTTGTCCACGTAGCTTGGTCAGGAGCCGAGTCTCCTCCCGCATCCACTTCACTGTCCTGTCTGCACCCTGGGCACCCATCGGCTCCCCCAGGTCCACAGCACAGCATTTGGATCCTGCTTTGCAGCCTGTAATTCCGGGCTGCGTTTTGTGCAGCGCTGGGCTCCCAGTTAGACAGCAAGCAGCCCTGCGTCGGGGATGACTCTTCAGTCAGAAAGCATTTCTCAGTTTAGGATGACGGTAGATGGCTGCATGCTCTCCAAAGGGCTTCCCAAGCTTGTGTCGCTGAGGAGCAGCCCGGTCCGCAATTCTACCCGGGAACCACCAGGGTGCGCAGCTCCGTGCTGGGTCCTCAGCAGAGAAGGGCCAGACAAGACCTGAGCCCTGCGCAGTCCTCACTGTAACAGGAAAGATCACGGATCGTCGTGAACTCGGGCACTTCCCACGGCAGAAGGAAAGCTGTGCTCGCAGAGGAGCGACAAAGTACCTGGCAGGACATAGCAGGGCCGGGGAAGTCGTGTCAAAACAAGGGCTTTCCTCTGGCACCTGGTGACCCTGGGACCTTGGCAAGTTAGTCTCAGGCCGTTCCCCATCCATAAAAGGAGACCGGAGATCCCAGGAATGGGGCCGGCATTAACTGAGAACGTACACAGTGAGCTTAGCACAATCGCTGCCCCGTCACAAGCCCTCCCTAAACATCAGCTATTGTCATTACATCATTCAAGATACCAGCAGACACCAAACATCTTTCCCTGTTACTCAGAACTGTGCATTAACCCTTATTATGTATTTTTTTTTGGCATCGGGGATCCAACTCAGGTCCTTGTGCTTGCAAGGCAGGTGGTGGAACCACTTTGCTAAATCCCCAGCCTCTTACCCCTTTTTAAATGGTGTTTCTACACGGTCTTACACACAGGAGCTTGTTGAGTTGAAATGCTTTCTGTGGGTGCTACCCCCAGCTGAGCTTTGCAATGAAGACCCAGTGAAAGCTATTCAGATGAGAACAATGTTCCACACTGTATTCTCTCAGCTTGAAGTTAGCCAATGCCAC